ATATATATGTACTAATTATTTCACATATGAAATGAAGAATAAGTTTACAATTGAGAACGACAAACGTCGATATCGAAGGATTTTTGTAGAATGAAAAAGAAACAAAAAATATATATCATGATTTGTTTTTGGAAAAATTTGTTCACATGTAAATATATAAAGAATTTAATCTTCATTAATCACTCCACATGGATCAGAATGATTATCTATAAATAAAAATGAACTTATTTTTCATATTTAAATAGTAAACGAGTAATACCATGAGAATGATATGGCAATTTAAAATCCATTGGATCTTGACTATTGTTCTTACGTATAATTATATGAAGATATTTACTGCCTTGGATACATACAGGTGATTCGAATGATAAAATTGTTTCAGTAATTTGAAAATCATTATCATTAAGTTTTTTATCATTACATTTTATATCTAAGTCTATAACAAATAAGAATTGAAATTTCTGATTAAAAAGCAAATAGCATACGATGCTTTTTCATTGCTTCATTCAGTTGAATAAAGATCATTTGACCACCTCTTTCACAAACTTGTTTAGGAAAAATACTATCAACAATAACTGACTGAGCGTGGTAGGCTATCACGGAGAAAAAAAAAGAATCAAATAGTATATGCAAAGTAAATTTTCAATTGTCATACTTTCTTTAATAAGATCTGAATATATTGGTGGGGAAACACATTCGAATTGATCATTAGATAATTTAATATAAATAGCAAACATCAATCTACACCATTTGAGCTTTTTATTTTTGATTAATGCTTTGGTGATGATTTTATTTTGATAAAAATTAACCATTTTGAAAGTCCATCTATAATATAAATCGATATGACATTTTAAAATGATTACAAAAAAAAAATTCCTCACTCTTTTTCAAGTTTGTCAGAATTAATCTTTGAAAAAATACCTCTTGTTTTTTTATCGAATTCATCATGATTATTTTCGTTATTGAGAACTATCAAATAATCAAGATCATTAGTCTTTAAATTACATTCTTCCTTGACAGATATATTTATAGGTACAACAAATTTTTGATCATGTTCTTTTTTATTAAATGTTACTACATGAACACCAAGATACAATTCTTGTTGATATTCTTTTATATTATTTGGAAGCTAGAATGATCAAATAGAAAAATAATTTAAAAATTATCTTAAATTTACTTTCAATAACAAAGGTGTGCGTTGTTCAGTTCCTTCAACGTGAACTGCTGGACAATGGTTATTACGTAATTCTTCTAAATTACGATGACGCCAATGTCGTGTTGGTTGATTAAGTAAAATTAATTTCGGTAATTTGATTGTTTGTTGAATATTATTTGTTGTATTTGATAATGAATCAGTAGATGACATTAACTCATAAACATGAAGTTGATGTTCTAAGGTAAATAAATAATTCTTTATATTTCCTGTCTATATTTCTTACTTGAGGTTATAGTGGAAAATTTTAAACTATCGAATTGAGGTGCAGTATAACTCTTGAAATGTGGTATATATTGAATAATTGAATTACATAAACTTGGAGCGTTCAATATCATTTCCGATTGATTTTCACGATTAACTGAAAATATATAGTTAATAAAAGATTATTATTGCAATACAAATGATCTGGAAATATTACACGGACCTGTATTATAGTTGATATGAGAAGTTGGAACGCTTCCTTGATCAACCATTGGTATATCTTGGTCAGACATCTGTTTTGTTGTGTCAAAATCACCTGGCCACTTATAACCTTTCACTGAATCTTCGAATAGTTTTAAAATATGTGTATCATTCACCGAGAATATTGTATGATTTTTTTTATTCGTATCACATACATAAAATGGATAAAACTTTTGATTACTTTTGTCGAATACGACATAAGCACGATGCAGATGCTGACTAGTTTCTATAGTTGAGTTGTTTAAATGGTGAAATATCTTATCATTTCGGTCAATAATACAAATATAAAGATTAATACCGAACTTATCAACAAATGCTTGTAACTTAGTTATTTCATTATCAAGATTTCTATCATGTGATAAAATGATTTTGAATACTTCTCCAAGATAATTACCAGCATTATCATTAATTGAAGCGATTATCTCACTCATCATAATGAAATGTTTGCAAACAAACGAATTCACAGGACCAAGAAAATCAGACCTATTAATACTATAGAAAAAAATAAGGTCAAAAGATCTATCGTAAAATATTTACTTTTCTGAATATTGTTGACCTTCTTCTACAGAAATATTTGGTCTTTCATCAGCCATCAGCTTATTATCATCACTCAATTTATTCTCTTCGTTTGACGCCATAAAATAAATTGTTATTCTTGAATTTTTATCAATAAATATGATAGATCTCAAAATACTCTCACAGCTTTTACTTACAAGACTAACCAATCTTGAAACGGCAGCACATGGTTTTTCTGTCTTATTGTACACTATGGAGGATGGTGATGGCAAAATGGCGACGTAAATATGTCGCCTTCCCAACTCATCGAGATGAGACAAAAAAAAATAATAAAAATAAATGTAACAAAGAGGGAGTTACATATGTTATACGAGAACCTTTTTCTACTTGTTTAACTTTCTTTCAGGGATAGAAAATATTATGTGAAAACAATATTTGAGAGAAAAAAAAAACTTGAAATATATAGTTTTTGATTTATTCTTAGATTAATAATAAATTGTTATTTTTTGTGATGTGCATCGATTTATCGTACCAAAAATTCTATATTTAATTTAATATAATATCTCTTCAAAACGTTTTCAACTTATTTTTTTTTCCACTAATTAACTATGAATAATTTTGAAAAAACATCATCTGTATTATTTCGGCTAATAGCAACGAGAAGCACTAGTGTATAAATATTGGTGTTTGTGCTTATTTATCCGCAGAGATTGTAAATCTTGATATATTGCACATATACGTGGAAATATAACAACAATTTTTAGAACACGCTATATTCATTGATTCAAAAATCCAAATGTTGAGTAAAGTTTTCTTTTCTAAAGAACCCATTATCATTTAATATCGACGAGCATATAGTGATAGTAATATTACTCCTTGATGAACTGTACCTTTTGGAAGAGTTCGCCAATTGAAAGGCGGTCAACTAATCGTTAATTGTGTTTTTAGTTGTGAATCAGATACTGCTGGATCAATATTCCCTGTTAAGTCTTTGTAATTTTTTAATTAATTTAGAATTTGACAATGAAATTTCCATCGATGAAAATAATCATATTTTATTTAGAATACCTCTTAAGAAAATATTGAAATATGAAATTCAAATTTAAATAAACATAGAGCATAACATTCTCACATTTTTGCCATACACAACCATCGAGTGATTCACTAGGGAACAGTCACGGTGAACTTCGTGTTGCAACATTAAAGCTAAAGCGAATATAATTAAGCAGACAACGTAAACTAAAGGTCCAGTAAACACCTATTATAGCATCATAGGAACTGGAATTAAATTTGAAAACTCAATCACGCGCCAAACTATTATTCAGAGAATTTCATAGCAAGAGATTACTGACTTTCTCCGATTTGAAAACCACAGTAAAAGTGAAATTATTCTAATCTAAACTAAAGCTAGAATCAAATGAAATATCTTACAGCTATGCAACGGTAAAGCTAAAAGACTATGAAGTAATATCCATTTTTAGAAATAAGGCGGTCCGAGAGAATGCGTATAACTTTTGAAGAAAACGTGATAGAGGCCTGCGGTTTTCATCGTTTGATAGAGTATAGCAGAGCACGTAGTAGTATCACATATCAAATCTACAGTTAAAATTTAACATCGCATGTATTTCTCTGCAATCTTCACGACGCTCTTATTCGTTAATGGTACGACGAGTTTGGGTTTTCAAATAGTGAAATCGATAGTCCAGCTCAAGATCTACAATTCTAGAGCAACTCCAAATCTCCATCTCATACGGTTCAAAAGCTATAGGCATTCTTCGCAAAAGCACTGATTCCATTCCGTAGCCAGACAATTGTGTCAAAAATACTCGACATATAGATTATCAAACACGCTGAACATCATGACGTTGTTTAGATGAAGTTTTGGGAAGATTCCTCCATTGAAATCAGATGAATCAACTTAAGAAAGGTTGTACGGTAGTATCAAAGAACAAGTTCAGTGCAATAGCGTGAAAGTGTTTGGGTGTGAGTGGGTATGTGGAAGAAGAGTTGCACTTCCACACCCCTACACCGACACCCTTGTAGTAGTATGAACGATAGAATTAGTTCATGTTGGTATTTCCATAAATGTCGATTTATCTTATTTGAATTATTAAATGATAATATAAATAACGAGAAGAAAAGAAATGTTCGAAAAATGTGAATTATTTTAAATGATAACCTAATAAATAGTTAATTTTCACGTTTCAATTTTTTCGCATACAACATCCATAAGAAGAGTAGCACCAGGTGGAATAACACCGCCAGCACCAACATCTCCATAAGCATATGATGGAGGAATAATTAATTTACGTTGTTCACCTTCACACATACTATATTGAATAAATATTTGAAATTATTTATATGAAAAAAAAAACCAGTGAAATAATTACTCGAGTAAACCTTGATCCCATCCTTTAATAGCTTGTCCATAACCAATTTTAAAAACAAATGGATGACCACGATCATAGGACGAATCAAATTTTTCACCATTCGATTTCAAAACACCCTTGAAAATATTTTATTTATTAGTTAAATTTAATAAAAGAATAAATAAATCTATTGAAAATTTAAAATAAAACTCACTGTATATTGCATATATAATGTATCTCCTACTTTTGATCTTTTACTACAATTTTCAACCTTTTTTATTGTCATTACTTGTAATTTTTCTTCAGCCAATGATAATACATATGGAAACAAACAATTTATTAAGATTAATAATAGACAAAAAACTAAAATTGACTTCATTTTAATCTGAAAAAAAAAAAAGTATTTCATCAAACAGCAATAAATGTTCCTTCTAATAAGACGAGACAATAATGCAATAGCAACAAATAGAAGAACGATAGCAAGGACAGGTCAATGTACAAATACGTCGGCTTGGTATCTTTTTTTCTTTCTTTCTTTCTTTCTTTCTCAGAGAAGAATATCTAGAAGAAATGTCAATGCTCAGTCTTTTCTCGATATCAAGAGTAGACATCCTTAGTTGGTACTCTCTTTTCTCATTCCTGTAAAACATACAAATAATATAAGCATTAAGGAAAAAAAACGAGATATATGATTATCAACCATCATTTTCTCGATAGAATCGTAAGATAAAAATAAATCAAGTTAATATTTTTACACAGTTATCATTGATATTTATTTCAAAAAAAAAATTTCTTTCAAAAATTGATTAGAATATGCTAAGTATTTATTAATCGTCAGTTATATATAATAACTAATATTGTTATTGGTCCAATAAAGATTTTTCAATAGTGAGATAAAAAGAAAGTTTCTTTTTTTTTTAAATATCGATATTGTTATGTCAAGATAGCTTAACTTTTCCGAGATTGTTTTCTTGTCGAACATTAGTTAAATCAATATGATCGATATTAAATTGATGCTTAAAGAAAAAAAAAGAACTCATTACAATATTCCTCAAGTAAACAAGACACATCATTTTTTTTCATCGAATTTTAAATTATCTGTTCCGTAAACGTTGTTTAGCTAGATTTTTATTCAAATCAAGTATGTCTTTTATTCAAGTTCTAACTAAATATGCAAGGAGATGAATAGATCGACAATGAAACATGAAATTTATCGAGAATATAGAAAAAATTTCTTAGATTCATCAAAGCGCGAAGGTACATAAGACCATAACTCGGTCCACCGAAATTTTGAGATAATTGTTTTTAGAATTGGAATCAATATCTTTTTCTTGTCTTACCTATTCGATAAGTCTTTGCAAAAGTCACACAATTATTGTAATTTCCCATTGTAAAATAATTTCTATCAGAGTGTGGCTGTGGGTGGCGGATGAGATGAAGACTAAAACTCATACCCACCCTTCTTATAAAAATATCGCTAATTGATATTACTTTGGGCATACCAAAAGTATCGATATTTTCGAGAAAAAAAATACAGAAGCAAGTTATTATAGATTTTATTTCATCAAATGTTCAAAGTAGTTGCCTTGATTGTTTACATACAACTCCATTCGTTCTAATCATTTATCGAAAGTTTTTTTTATAGTCATTTTTGTTTATCGAATTCATGATTTTGGTTACGACACGGTACAATGATTGTAAGCTCCTTTGATCGGTCAGATTCTGTTTGATCAGATCGAATAACCAAAAATCACATGGTGCAAGGTCTGGAGAACTTGGTGGTTGACGAATAATTTTGATACCTTCCGATTTGAGAAAGTTTGAAACATCTTTATGCACATATAGTTTTGCATTATCGTGATGAAATTTTATGGCATGTGTACCAGATGTTGGTGCTTCCTTCCGAATTTCTTCGATAAGAGGTTCCAAGCAATTATCGATGTAATAATAATAATCGATAGTGTCCGCTTGATCGACATGATGAATTACAACAGAAACAATCAGTTTGAAAAATATGCAAAATAGAGTTTTTGGAGCAAAATGGCTGCGTCGAATCACAGTAGGCAGAGTTCCTTCAATTGGTCCCCACGCAGTATTCGATGATCTTCGACCAATTTGTTTATGGTAAAACCATGACTCGTCACCTGTCACTACATCACATAATCGCCACGTTCCTTGATGAAATTTCGTCGAATTTTCTTGGCAGAATTGAACCGGTTCGGCCCGTTGAGTATCAGTCAACAAGTTGGGCACCCAACGAGCAGTAATTTTTTTCAATTGCAGATGGTCAGAAATAATTCATTCAATGGTGCCACGACTCATACAAGTCTCCACTTGTATTTCATCAATAGTAAGATGAGGATCATCATCACATCAATGTGGCAACGAACTTCTTCAATATTTTCAAATGTTGTCTCGGTTACAGGTCGACCAAGTCGTGGTTGATCTTCTACATCTTCTCACCCTTCTTGAAACCATCTTGACCATTTGGCAACTGTATTATAAGATGGAGCTTGATCACTAAAAACAGAATATAATTCATCATGAATTAATTTCGATTGAATGTTAAGTGCAGTACGCACCTTAATGTAGAAACGATAATTTTCCTTATTCATCTAAAATTGATAGTGCATAGTTTTCATTAAAATTTTTTATATAAAAATATCACTTGGCTAATCTTGCTATAATACAAACATGTAGAGCACTCTTAGTACTACAGATATATATGGACAGAATTTTTTCTCAAGCTTCCTGTATTTTAATATAATATCAATATCGATACTTTTGGTATGTCTTAAGTATTACTTTGATTTGTTCTTCTTTAATCAACTGTTTGAATCTGCATTAGATTTATATGTAGAATGATCTGAATGCTATGTTTTTAGGTTTGTATACGTCCATGTAGTCGTATGTTTGCTTCTGTGTTGGTTTGGATGCTCGATTTGAAGAAAAAAAAATAGACTGTTGTAATATTCATTCATTCATTCTCTTCTGTTGATGTGCTTTAAGCCATACTTTGTACTCCTTGTCCAAAATGTGTTATGTATACTCCTGGACAAAAGTCTTTTCCTGTCGGACCTTCGTCATCATAAGGACTAGAGGTCTGAAAACTTGTGTGTACATATTCCACCAAGAATATATGTTAGAGGGCATCGCCAGCATCTTGATTGCTTGAAACGAAACGAAGTTATGATCGATGATACCAATTTTTGCTCTGAGCTTGGCAACCCAAAAAAAGACTGCTTGTTGAAGTTTGCCCTGTTTCTTATCAAATACGTGATTAATTCTGAATATTTTTGTATGAAAATAAAGCAAAATCTGCCGTCTTTCTTCAATCAAAAGATACAATAGTGCTTACAAATACCAAAAGATAAATATCATATGCTAAACAGCAATATATTCCAGTGAGATATAAGAGTATGCATCGCTTAGAGATCATAGATAATCTAAATAGACATGACTGATTTTTGAAAGGCAATAACCCATTTTTTTCATTGATCACCTACCGACTGAAATCGAAAAAGTAGACGAAAGTGATTCTTGATGAATCCAAATCGCGGATTTTCGACCTTTTTTTATGATAGAAATTTTTTAAGTAAATTTTTCTTCCAAAAATCGTTTGGCTTTCCATGCTGGTCAAAGTTTTTTAGTATCAAAGTTTATTCTGTTATTTCGTCACATAAACTGCAATTTTTTTGCGGAAGACGAAAACAAAATAATAATATTTTCTCTAATAAAAACAGATTTTTACGTGATTAAACAATTTTATAGATATTTACAATCGGTTTCATTAAGAGGTACAACAGTTGGTCATTGTCAATGTTGACTAGCTGAAAGTTCAAATAGTTGATATGTCAGAAAGGATCTTAAAACCCGCATTGACTTTTTTATATCAGTGTATAATCTAAAGAAATGCTGCATACTCTATACTCCAGCTACGCCTTGTAAATTTTTTACTACTCTATAGATTCGTGATATGCACCAATTATATCATAAATTCTAGAGGAAGATAGCTCGCCTAACGAATATGTATAGATATTCATCCAAAAGAAGGAATAGATATTTTATTTTACGAAAGCGAAAACTGTATTAGAATTGAAAAGGTGAACTCATTTGACTTTTTTTTCGGTATTAATCAATAGTGAGGAAATGCATCCAGTTTCTTTCGAAATCAATCTTAATTCATGAAACACTTTACTTAAATAAAGTACTGAAGACATCATTTGTAATAAATATTGGCTTGATATCAAACGGATGCAATAGAAAATATTCAAAGTAGCGGTTTAAGAAAAGTAATTGAACGAAAATCAATCAAGAAATTCATAGTTCGAGAACATATCTTTTTTAAACAAAGGTCTCTAAACTAGATGCACAGGATGTAGGGCGTGGGTTTTGTTATCTCTCTAATCTGCACTTGTACACATATCCGTTCTCCACATCCACTACGCCCACACGCTCACCCATAACCACATATCTGTACCTACACACCCACACTCATTCAACCAGTCCGCACGCAATATTTCGAAGATTTCTTATTGACAACTCTTACGCACTCTTAAAGTGGTGTATAAACTAATGAATACGTTTGTGAATATTTTCGAGCTGCGATCACTTGTCTATAGCAGTTGGTCGTTCCCATTTTGTTATTTCTTATCGTTTCTATATTTGCTTTACTCGAGAAACAAAATAGATTATTGATTCTTATTTATTGTGAATGCATTACATACAACTGCACTCATTCTTATTAATGAAGCATTGTACGACCATGATGTTGTCGCTGCTGCTACTGCCTGTATTTCTTGCATTATCGAGTTCTTGTCGCTGCATACCAAGACAATTATTGCGTTGATTGCAATCAGCTTTATCCTCCTTGGCTGTTGAATTGACAATGAAAGTTGAAGAAGTATTCAGAGTAAAATAATAACGGATTTTTATACCAAATGTTACACTTTGTCTGATTGATTGTTTTACAGGGTATCTCAGCTGGTTCTCTTGTTGTGGTAAGCACAAACGAGGACGTAGTCGCATGTGGTCTCGGCCTGATTCCAGTCGGTGCACGCTGGCAAATGTGGCTCAGTGAAAATGATCAACAAATAGTTGCACGTGAAGCACGTCAAATATTGATACGGATCGTATCGAGCTTCGACAGCTGGCCACTAGCACTCCCTCATCACCATAAAAATAACAACTTATAGAAGTTGAATTTAGAGTGATTCTTTTTTCAATGAACAACTGCTTGAAGAAAAAACATGAAGCCAATAAATGATTTCGAATACATTGCTGCTATCTCTTATCACAAAGAATATAAATAATCACGGGTTAGCTGTAATGATAAACTAGAAAAGAAAAGCTATCGCTATCCGCAGGCAGGATGTTCAT